TTTAATAATTTAAATTCTTTGAAATCCTTTCTTTAATCGTTCAAATCCTTCTTAATTCTTTCTTTAATAACTTAAGTCTTTTAAAATGCTTTCTCAATACTTTGTAATACGTTTTTTAATAATTTAAATTCTTTGAAATCCTTTCTTTAATCGTTCAAATCCTTCTTAATTCTTTCTTTAATAACTTAAGTCTTTTAAAATGCTTTCTCAATACTTTGTAATACGTTTTTTAATAATTTATAAATTCTTTGAAATCCTTTCTTTAATCGTTCAAATCCTTCTTAATTCTTTCTTTAATAACTTAAGTCTTTTAAAATGCTTTCTCAATACTTTGTAATACGTTTTTTAATAATTTATAAATTCTTTGAAATCCTTTCTTTAATCATTTAAATCCTTCTTAATCCTTTCTTTAATCATTTAAATTCTTTGAAATGCTTTCCTTAATCATTTCAATCCTTTTTAATTCCTTCGTTAACCAGTTAAATTCTTTAAAACACCTTAAAATTCTTCCTTCAATAATTTCAGCGAACTGAAAATGATTCATCGACGTTCTTAAATCCAGTTATTCGTTGCTTCATTTTCAATTTCGTACATTCATTTTCATCATAAATCCGCAAAATCCACGGCCCATTAAATAACGAATACAAGACCACGTCTATAATCAATAAAGACACTGCTTTGAATACCGATCGATCGATCCGACGATTTCGCTAACTCGCAGCGAAATGGGTCCACAAACATAGTCGTTTATCCCTTCCCACCGTAATCGACGAAAGATAGCACTGGCGTCACTATCGAAGCACAATTTCGAAGAACTGAGATCACTACGGCGGACGACGAAGGAGCTTGCGCAAAACTCAAACGGAAACGGTCCTCCGGAGGAGTTCACGCGATTCTCTCTGGAATCGCAAGGTCGGTCGCATAATTAACAAGGATGTCGCGCTCGCGCGCGCGCGCGTTCGCAAGAAAAGGATGTCAGGGAGTGCGCGACGTGCCACTTCGATCCGCGCGATTCGAGCCTCGCGTCTCGTTTCCTTGTCCCTCGGCAGGATCGGGTTTAAGTGGCGGCTACGACACCGTAAACTGTTATGCTCTTTTCACCGGCCCGGCCAGGAAACGGGAGTGCGCGAAACGAGCTCTGTCTGTCTCTCGCCGGGGCCCCACCACCTACGCCAGTGTCCGCGGTTTATTCGGGGGAGGAACTTCCGGCGGCCATCCTACTTCCTATGAACGTCGCCGCCCTAACCGGGGCCCCGTGACGATGACGAGCCCAGGACGTCCAGGTCGCCTAACTTGCTGAACTTTGATCCAACCGGAACTCTGGACTTGCCACTGTGAACCTCGGTCTCGCTGTCCAGAAATAGTCGCGCAAGGATCTTCCAAGGATTTCTAGCGATCTTGAATTTCTGTTTTGATTGCAGCGATTCTTGGAAGTTTTCGAATCGCAAGTACATTGAACAGCGAAATGAGAACACGTTGAATTGTTAGAGAGAACTTAAATTTGTACGTCTTGAATTTGAACGGTTCGAATTATTGCGAAGTTTAATATTGAACAGAGCAATGAAAGCGTGTTGTTGTTGTTGTTTTTTATGAATAACAAAACTGAATTTATTTAGGCGGTTAACCGCCTAAATTAACACGGGCGTGCAAAACCGGCCAAAATGTGCAGACTCGTATATATACGGTCGGCGTCGCAACTTATGTTATGTTACCTATATTAATTGAAAAACAGTACGATGGGTACAAAATTCGATATGCAATGCGATTCAATATTCACTATAATTATTTATCCACTATTTTTATTGAATTTTTAGTAATTTTTGCATTTTTTTTACATATTTATTGAAATTAAGGTCCAAATATGTATTTTCTTAGATAAAAAAAATTGATTTTTTTTGGTCGGTTTTTTTTTTTTAAATTGTGCATTAAGGGGTTAAACGATTTTATGACAATGTATGCTTGAATTAGAAAATCTGTTCGATGATTTCCTCTCTATATAACGTCAGCAATCTTAAAATAGAAACCGTGCAACCGGTTAAAATGACCGTCATGATAGGTTTAGTGTTAAACTCGAATTTGTATTGCAATCTTTGAGCAGATTGAGCACATGGAATGTTCACAGCCTTGGACAGCGGAGCGTGAACCTGTTGCCGAGATAAAAATTGAATTTGTATTTGCATGCTTTGAATTTCAACAATTTGAACGAAACACTATGAGATTCGAAACCGAATTTTTATCAGAGTCGGCGTAGAATAGTAAAAGAAACGTTAATTTGTCTTTGAATGCTCGTGCTGTACGCGCGAATCGTCGGAAACGGGGCCCGAGCGTGAACCGAAACAGTGGAGTGAATGTATCGTTTGAAAAAATACACACAATTTGCACCGGGCACGCAGAGAAAATAGCGAATGAAAGCAGCCGGTGTCACCGTTTCCCGGTGCAGGTCCTCACAAAGGCGAGGAGGATTCTCAGGAGTTTTCTATCCAGTAATTAACGAACGAAGGTGCAGGGCGCACAATGCGGAAGCCAGACACAATTAACTAGGCCAGGCCTGCACCGAAGCCGGTCCGTTAAAGATTAAAAACGACGGTTCCGCGGTTTAAAAAATCGCGGCACCGGCCTCTCTACGCTCGATAAAATCCGCGCCGATAGGAATGATACCCGGGACCGTTCTAATTGATCACGAATCGACGCGGTTCTCGCTCGAACACGCCGTGCGATAAATTCGCGTGAAAGTCATAGGCAATTTTACTCATAGGCGGGGAAACCGGTCTAAGCCGATTTTTCCCCGTTTTCCCACCCCTTCGTGAGCCGACCGGCTGCCTGTGCAACGAGCCATTGTCCTTAAAGTATGCGCAAAAATTGTGCATCCACTTGTGCTTGCAAAACAGTGTCTGCGATACATGTGTACCTGAAACAATGACGATAACAAATTTATTTAACGCAGCGTCCACCAAAAATATACTTGAAATAATGTTTGCTAAAAATGTATTTCAAATATTGCCTATTGTTAACTATTGTTAATATAACGTCTATCTAAAATGCATGTTCAAAATAATGTCTGCCTAAAATGAATATCAAATATTGTCTATCCAAGATACACTTATATTCACTGCATACAAGAATGCGTTTAAAGATGCATCAAAAATTATCGTCTGCACACACACAAAAGATGCATTTAAAACTATTCCCTAAAAAGATATTATCTAATATTATTGTCCGCGGGGAAGATGCGTTTAAAACTATTCTCTATGAAAGATGCATCTGAAAGTATTGTCTACAGAAAATGCATCAAAAATTATCATCTAGAAAAAATGCATCTACAATTATTATCCACAAGGAATGCATTTAAAACTATGTATTTTTTATACAAAACTGCATCTCATATTATTGTATACGTTTATAATCATGGTCTAAAAAAACATATATATATATATAATATGTGCCTAGAAAAATGCAAATATAAAATACATGTGTGTCAGAGGTGCATAGAAAACATAGCTAGTAAAATTGCATTCGAGTGAGCAGTATTACAGAACGAATGATTTTCGCGTGACTATCGTCGACAGCAACTGGTAAAAAAGACGCAGTTTTACGTCACCGGCGGCGAATGCATTGACTTACTTTCCGCGGCGGCTAATGCTTAAGTGTCCGGTGACTTATGACCTCGGCTGATAGCTCGATAATTCACATGCCGAGTAATTTACGCGTTTCCGGTTCTAACAACGTGGCCGTTCTCTCCTACATCTGCCAGGCCGATAATTAACGGCTAATTAAATTTATCCGAGCCGTGGCGGGCAATCGTGCGCCCTGAATTTCTGTCGTAGCAATGTACAGGGAGACAGACGAACGGTTATAGCAGGGTTCACCATTCATTGCCGGGCCCTTTCTCGGAATGAAACATCGTCGACGGAAACGTTCAATCTAAAGGGTGCAGCGAAATTAACCCTGACATGCACGATTTCTTCTTTTCATCCTTTTCGACCATTCTTATTCATTCTTCTTCAATTTCGTCTCTTTATTTAAACTACTTCAGTTCTTTCTCATTCTTTTTATTCGTTTTGTTAATTAATCTTGAATTTATTTGTTATTCTTTTTATTCGTTTCGTTAATTTTTCTTGAATTCCTTTTTTATTCTTTCCGTTCGTTTTGTTAAATTTTCTTCAATTTCTGCGTTTTATTTATTTTATTAATTTTACTCTTTCTTCTTCAGTTTCTTCTTTTTATTTGTGTTATTAATTATTCTTATACTTTCTTCATCAGTTTCTTTTTTTATTTATCTTATTAATCTTATTCTTTCTTCTTTAGTTTCTTCTTTTTATTTATCTTATTAATCTTGTTCTTTCTTCTTCAGTACCTTCTTTTTATTTATTTTATTAATCTTATTTTCTCTTCTTCAGTTTCTTCTTTACATTAATTTGATCCAATTTATTATTGTTTCAATTGTGTTGTACAAGGTGTTGTTGTTTCTCCTTTTATTCCCACTGAATATTTTGAAAAATTCATTTCACAGCTTTTTACATTTCGTTTATTCCAACTACATGTACATTGTGTGTAATACATTTGAAAAATTGTCTTGCATCTTCTTGTACATCTTCTTGTATCTTTGCGTGTCTCCTTTATTATTCGACGAGACCCACGACGAGATGACGCCGAAGAATTTTTATCAAGAAAGTACTCGACAAATGTACGACCCGTGGCTGTAACTGTATTATCTGAAGAAAAGAGACGGTTATCTCTGTTCTTTTTGTAAAAATAATAGAGAAGTCGGCTTGGGTAGATAATTTAGCTCCACCCTCTGCAGAATAACGTTCCAGCCCCCACAAGAAAGAAAGCTTCAGTAAGGAGGAGTTCAAGGCAGGCATTGTCCGTGCTCGGCTGCCGAGACTCCGGTGTCAAGGGCGACACACGGTGCTTCCAGGCCGGGATATTAAATTAATTACCGAACCGTGTCCGCCATCGCGTCCGCTAACGATAGCGGGCGTCACAATTTGTAACAACAATCGGCCGGTTGCTTCACGATCGTTAAGTTACGAAAGACAGTGCTCCGTCAGGCGAGACCACGGAAATCTTATTCGACAGTGCCCAATTCCTGTTTTCGCAAACTGTTTTCGACATTTACAGATTCGTAAGTGCCTTCAACCTCGTTCAAATTGTTATTTGAGCCGTTTATTTTGAAAGTGGCATAAGTCACTTTGTTTTTAAGTCGATATATTTAAGGGTTTGCGTTTTAACACGTTTAAAAATGTGGATGCTAACTTTCTTGTAACTAACTTGTTATCTGTTTGTTATCTCAGGATACTGATATTTTTCTCAGTATAAATAATTTCGTATGAACATTAAAAAATCACCACTTTTCATTACGGTAAAGTGACTTATGCCACTTTCAAAATAAACGGCTCATTTAATGGTAGCGATTAAAACTGTTTTATAAACGCGTTGTTCAAAAGAGTTATGGAAAACCTTTGTTCCGAACAACTTTCATAAAGTACCTTCATTCTGAATAATTAGTTAATATGGTTAAAGTTTTCTTTAGGGGACCAAAATTTGTCGACTTTTTATTGTATATTTCCATAGATATTGACGAGAAAACGCCGAAAATGCAACTTTTTAAGTGACAGTTTTAAGCAAGTTTTAGCAAGTTTTATTTTTATCAAGTATTAAGTTTTAAAGTTGACTAATTTTCGACGTTTTTGGCTGGTAAGCATCTTCACTGTGAACCATTGTTACGAATAGACATCTTTATATTATTTCTTATCGTCGCAGTTTGTTTCTTAAAAAGTAAATTACCATTAATGTTTAGTAATATAAGCCCTCTTTGTTATTATACAGATTTGTATTGGCTATAAATGCGCGAATATTTGCAGCTCAATTACGAAGCACTGAATAGAAAGAAACTATTATTTGTATCAGTAATGATTTCTGTTTTCGTTTCCACAATTAGTCTCTTAATTAGACTGCAGATCTTTGTGCATAATAAAAACTGTCTGCAACAATTGCAGGATATACAAGCCAAAAGCAACTTCTTTTCTCTCTTTAATCAGTTGAAATTAACCGTCGAACGGCGGACTATTTTAACAACTGTACAATTGACGATGATTCTGATCATTCCCAGCTTCATTCATTAAGAAGCTTCTTCTTGTACATCTATCAATCTTCCGATCGTTCCCAATGTCATGACGATTTATTCTATTTAATTACCGAAGATCAAGCAATCGAGTGAACGATGTAAATACTCTGGGTCAAAATAGACCCGGTCACCGCGTCGCCGAGGGTTAATACATCAACATCCGTAATTTGCGTCAATCTTTTCATTATTTTACGTTTCACCAATTCATTCTTGCCATAAATCCATAAAATCCGTAGTCCACTCGTAATCGTTGTTTCTTTCAGAATCAACATTCACTTGTTTTACCTCTGTTCTAAAAACTTCGGAATACTCGCCGTAACTCGATAAAGTAATCATAAATGATATTTTTCCGATTCCATCGAGTGCACAAGAAAATAGGAATTAACGAGCACAATTAATTCCATCGCGTCGTGAAAAAAACGGTACGGCGTGCCAATTTCGTTGAGACGTACAAGCACAAAAGATCCGCGAGGCACGGGCACGTAAAAGGGCACCAGAAGCGGTCGTTAAAATTGAAAACGTCCAATTACCGTTCCCGGAGAAGACGTTTTTCCGCGTTAACGTTTTCCCGGTTACAAAGCAACGAACAGAACGAAACGCCGATAAATCACGGGGCCGGGATAAGAGACGGGCGTTAAAGGAGCCGGTAAAGGATCCTGGCCGCGATTCCCGACAAAACTAATCGCGCCACTTAATGCAGCGTAAAACTAATTACGCAGCTTGTCGTTAAAGAGGCTCGCGTGGTTTCGCGTTGAACCACGGGGAACACACAAGGCGGGGCTAATCAGAAGCATGGACACCTTAGAGCCGGCCCGGATTCTGCGGAGTTATAACACTCTTAGGGCCCTGTTCTTCCTGAACTTCGTTGCTCCGGGCAAGGAACTTCGGCCGATAGCGCGGCTGTTTTGCGATCTTCCGAACATTCTCTACGGCTATCTTCGACGACCGTTCGCTATTTACTGTCCGAGATTGCGATTTCCGAGCGCGCGCTAACGCTCGCCTGCACTCCCGTACCTCTCCGAGTGCATCGAGGAATTTTAAAAGTTGTATTGTTTAACAATAATCATACGTTAAGCCTTGCGTATCGATGCCGAAGGCGCCGGGGAACCGGGGCCTGGGCCCGGAGTTACGTTTCGAGGACGACGTAAATACGGAGATTCTTCTGTTGCCGAAGAATGTTGAAACTTCCGTCTGTCCGACCATGAAATCGCTCGCGTCGTTCGCCGAAGATTACGGCTGCTTTTGCACGACGATTCTGCAGGTTCCACTTGAACGTGTCGGTGTGATTTCGTAGAATATCGTGGACATTGTTTGGCCGGAGCGCTTTTACGTCGGTGATTCGATGATCGTGAACACTGAGATTACGGCTTTGAGAATTTCTTCGGCTTCAACTATGAAAGCTGCACCAATGTCTGTTGCGCAGAACGAGTCCGTAGACTCTCGCAAATCTGCCAGTGTATGTTTTATTAACATTATAAACACTTGAACGTGATTAAATAATATTTGATGCGAGTACATTTCCGAAGATAATTCAATAACCGCGCACGGTCAAATTTGAAGTTCGAGAATTTGTTGCGTTGCAACCATATAAACGCTCCCGATCCGTTAATACATATTTCTACGACAATAAAAACATTTAAACATATTTATACTACTTTCGAAGCCATCGGAACACCCAACGCATCGATTTTCTAGAACATTTTTTTCAATCCACTTCGAAAACATAAAAAGCTTATACGAACATCAATTAGGTATGGCTAGCAGTATTAATTATGGTGAAAATGTCATCACACGTCTCGTAGGTAATTACAAAATGGCGCCGATAAATTAGATGGCTCCCTTTCGTTTGTTCATCCTGGATCGCGTCCTTTCGCGCAGGATGATCGTTTTGCAACTTTACACTTCGCGCGACAGCGCGCCGATTATGCTAGTCCACCTGACCGTTGCGCTGGCAACGAGTACTCGAAGACGCTCGTTAAGTATCGGGATCTCTGTGCATCGGGACAACCCGTTCCTTCTTCCGCATCTAATATGAGGTTTTTCTATCAAAGGTGTCTGGCTTGCTTAAGCCGAAGCCTCCAAATGCCATGGGGAACGGCGCCTGGGTAGTTTAATTATCGTGGTACTTAGGTTTATCAGTATCGACCGTGTACCTTGAACGAGCTAGCATAATTTGATGATTCCATGTAATTACCGTGCCGAGGATATTGTGCCACGGTCTTGTTTAGAAAAGCGAATTAACCTTCTTCGAACTTATTATCATCGTCGAACCGAACTTCAAGAGATTCAGAAATCTCTGCGAAGCTTGGAAAATTTTGCTCAAGACTGAGATTGCAATGAATTTGAAGATCGAAGCATTCTCTTTAGAATGAGAGCATAAAATCCGACGAGCGATTTTTTCACGCAGATTTATTGCAGTTTAAATGAAAGGCGCGCAGCTGGCATACATTTACAAACGATCATTACGTTTCATATTATTTTATAGACGATCATTACGTTTCATACTATTTTAGAAACGATAATTACATCTCGTACATTCGTTAAAAATGCTGCGAACCTGTAAGAAATAATGCGATCGTTGCAAAGAGTTTTCTAAATCGTCTCCCGAGAGCTAATTGATCGCCTGGAAGACGGTCCAGATCGAATTAGACGTCACTTTCTCCGGCGTATTAGCATTTCTCGTACATAAACAAGCCCCCGCCACGTCGAAACAAAATCGCGGCCGCTTAATACGATTCGTTTGCTTGGCGTGTGCAACCTAATTGAGAGTTTCTACGCGATTGTGCAAAAATCATGGTCGATCTCGGTTTCGGTTGTCTTTCACCCGAACTTTCCTCCCGGCGGAGTGAAAAGAGGCTTCCGGTTGGACGGATCGGTACGAAACAGAAATGATATTTCGCGGCGGCGCGGCTGATCGTGCGAAAGGAGCGCGCGATTTAATTAGCGATCCGAAAGTCGGGAACAAGGGGGAACAGGCGTTATCTGGGAACCGGGTGATCGCGATAATGAAACGCGAGCGGTCGCGCGCGCGTGAGAGGACGACGAGATTATTCGCGCCCCGGCAACCTTACTCGGAGCCAGATCCAACCGAGATATTTGGGTTAACGGCCTCTTCTCCTTTTCTCGCGCAGCCTTCCTCTTTCCTTACGCCGACGACGGAAGATCTTAACTAGCTTTTACTCGGTCCGTTAACGCCGCTAGGTCAGGGACGTTCGCGCGGAATACTCGCGATCGGCACGCCTCACCTCGATTTTCCGTTCTGCGCAGGCTACGGAGAAATCGAGAGGAAATTCGCAGAGATTCGAGGATCGACGCGTGAATCGCTCCGTTTCGTTCCAATCGGATCGACGGTGTACCGATCGTTTCGCGCTTCCGGAAAAGCGATCGCCTACTTCGGACAGATCGTTCACCGATTCGTACGCGGACGTCGTGGATTATTAAACCGCAGATTTTCAGAAAAATAGGCGGTAAACAGTAAACAACAGTCACACGCGGATCTTTGTACGAGATAACAAAAATTGTCTGCGTTCAAGGTGCAAATATAGACATTTATTGGATTATTTTCTCTCTTTTGAATACTCAGAAGTTTTTCCTTCTAGCATATAAGTTACAAAAACGAATCGACGCCGAGAGTCTCGCCAGAGTACCATTAGATAAACAATGATTTCATATGTATATAGAACAGAGTGCTCTTTGTCTTTAGGTGACGTTTTTGGTTTCGTCTTTGTGAATAGTCTTCAGTCTCCTGGAGCAATCAGGAGAGTAAAGACGGTCCTTCCTCGTACATCAAATTAATAAACTAAAAGGGATAAGTTTAATTCACCGCGTTTTACTTTTATTTATCTACCCATTTCCAATAACATTTGTCAGATTCCTGAATAATTCTTGACGATATCAATGAGTATTTTTAAATAAATATTTTTTACTGTTCTGGAGGTTATTGAAAAGAAGAAGAGATTCGATCAGGAAAGAGATCGTCCAATTAGAAGTGTTTCAAT